TTCAGGGGTGAGCAAAACTTCCGTGGCACCTGGGTCTTGGAGCACAGGCAAATCAACTATGGCAGTGGGTAGCATCAGTGTCTGAGACACAGGCATGATCAGTCTTGTTTTGTGATATACTCAAAGTAAACAAAACTCAACTCTTTTTAAAAAGCTATTAAATGATGTGGTTAGTATATGCTATACTACAATATTTCATGGAGTTCAATAATTCTTGAAATGAAAATTTCACTTTTAAGGAAATTATATTACTTATGATACCTTTGGTTGTAAGTTACAGAAAACACACATTGGACAGGTGTCTATACTTATGAGAATGAACTGCTTTATGTAACTGAAAAAAATCTGGTGTTGGCCTAAAGAAGAAATCACTCCAGTAGCGTAGTGATGTTACTATGAGGCCATTTCCCCTCTTCTGCTCTGTTGTGTGTTGTCAGCTTCATCCTAATATTATCTGTTCTTATATTCTCAAAATAGCTGCCACAGTTTCTGTGACCAAATGCCTTTATTCAAATCCTGGAGGAAATGATTATTTTTGATCCAGAAGTTTCAACAGAAAACATGGTAGTTAATTGTTCTGCTCAAAATGTCCGCCAACATCTAAACTAATCAGAATGGAAAGGGAGGGAGGGGACAGGAATGGAATGTGCTGGTTGGTGAGGGAACTGGCCCTTCCCTATAGAGCTGAGGGTAGCATCAGCACCACAGAATCATATGGATCTCCAAATGAAAATCAGGGTTATTAAAAAGGAAGGAGAAAGTATTAGATGATGATGAGATAACCTATGGGCAATATTGTGATATAGTACAGTTTTAATTCCAGTATTATTTTCCTAGGAACAAAATACTTTTTCTGAACATTGAAAACACTTAATTTCTTACAGAACAGTCACTCAGTTTGATGAAGTGAGAAAGCCCATGAGGGAACAACAACAAAAAAGTAGAAGAAGAAGAAACAGAAGATACCCAGCCCTATGTGTCCTTTCTTTTTCCCCCATAAATACATATCCTCCTGTCCAGGTATTCTGTGTACAAAAAAGGGACTAGAGATCTATTTTGTAAATAAAAGGAAAATGGTATCCTTTCTGAAATTTGCTCAGAAATGAACATGTTTTGTTTTAGAAGCACTTTGGTCTAAGTATCAAGAATCACTCTTGAATTATTTTTTCAGTTCTTGAAAGACTTAAATCTTAGCCTTATAATGACATATGACAATGAAATGGCCAGGAAATTAATGACTGCAATTTTGCTAATGGTTTCTTTGCTCCTTTAAGCAAGTCACTGCTCCCTAGTGAATCAGTAAGAAAAGAGAATTATGGCTAAAAATTAATAAAGGATTCTAGCAGGCTGGTTCAGAGTCTTGGAATTAACCACATTAACCCTTTTCATCCTCATTCGTAACTCACTTGAACTAACCATACTCTTCAGGACGTATGCACACTGTAGTGAAAATGTTAGGAAATAATTTTACTTAACAAGTAAATAGGGTTCATTTAATTATATACAGCAACTGGAGTTGACGAGATATATATGTTTATATAACAAATTCCTCAGAATAAATTGGATTTTCAACTTGCCATTAAATCCATGGGGATTTGAACTTGTTTGCTCCTTAAAAGCAATCAGCTATTTCTAAGTACAAAACAGAGAAAGATACTTATAATACTTCTCAAATACAAGACTGTGCAAAGATACTTTACTGAATAAGGTACCACCATTAAAATTACACTATATTTAACATGAATATATAGAAACTAGTGTGCTCAAAGCATCACAAATCCCAAATTGCCTTACTATCATTAACATACGGGTTTATTACATTCCTATGAGCACTTAATTTTTTTCTTATTCTGTCAACGTTTGATACCACGGTACCTCAGGAAAGTTGTGATTTCTTCTATGTTGTTTATTATTTTCATCTAGACCAAAGACCTTTTCTAATCCTGCATCCTCTGAATTCCTATGGTGGTTATTATATATACAAGTCTTTGGCATTGCTCATGTGCCGTCTTAAGCTGTTAAGTAGGGCTTGTTTGTCATGTTGCTATGTCTCATTCCCCAAACCACATTATAATCAATTCAGAAACTGATGAATTCAATTATTGAATTGATGTCTTTGAATCTCCCCAATTTGTGACAAAGTGACTGGAGTGAGAACATAAAGCTCCTTGGGAGTAGGGGTTTCATCTGATTTTTTTTTTCAAGGTAACTATGAGAACTCTGAGTTCTCTGACATATCGTATACACTTAATAATGGTTATTAAGTGAAAGAATAAATGAATTTAATACCAGTTGCTCAAGAGATGTTTGTTAGGTTGAATACTACTACTACCTAATCTACTATTTGCTGGACCTATGCATTTTAGTTAGTTTTCTAATAGCTATGTGATTTTCATCAGTAATTCAGGAAAAGTCCATGGGTTTGTGGCCTAGCACTGCCCTAGGATACGTGAAAGAGCCAAACACACACAAAAAAGTAGAAATTACAGTTTATATTTCTGAGAAATTCATGCTTCATTCCCACTTCTCAAGTATTGCAGCCTTACTCTTATTACACCCTCTTCTTACCCAAGCATGTCTTTGTAAGCCAGTTAATCTTGCCAAAGATCAGGGTCATTGTTTTATACAAGAATTTAACCTATATGAATCTGTACAGTGATACAGCCCAACAAGCACCCTCTTGCAGGAATGAGAACTAAGGAAAATCAGGCTTTGTGGGCTTAGGGTGTACATTTCAGCAGGTAGGTATAGGAAGCAAGTCCCTTTGTGCTAAGATCATCAATTCTCAGAGACACCTACTCGAAGAAGTTTTCCTCAGCACTTAAAATCCCCTCTCTTATTCCTCCCTTTAAATCTCATAGTTTAAGATGAGCCTGTCCACTATCATGAGACTCTTCATTTTATAACCTACTATTTCTGCAAAAGTCTGACAGTTCATGCTGGTTTTTCCTGCTTTTTCTGTAAGACCACCAGACTTCTCCAGCAATAGATTTACAAGGAAGACTTCCCTTTCTGTGCTACTGATTTCCCTTTAAGTGCCTAGCAAGGGGTTCCTCCTCTAAACCTATTTTCAGAAAGCCCGCCATTAGGAGGAGGAACCACAGTTCTTCCATTCTAATTTTTGGTTGGCAGCTGATGGCAGCACCAAACACTTATTTAGTTAACTCAGCAAAACCTTCTGTGTTCACTTGTGAGAGGGGCTCTCATACCACCTCAGTGGCTTGAATTCTAGGAAGTGACAGCTACAAGGCCATAAGAGTATGTGTTCATGACACACTGATTGTCAGCTGCATTACAGGCAACTTTCTCTGACTCACTGAGTTATTTGGTACATGAGAAAATAAATTGGCTCTTGGTATACAAATTAATAATGGGTGCAATTTTGGTGGGATTATACTAAAGATTTACAGGATTCAATTTCTAGGCATACTATCTATCTTGGTATATATACTGTTCAAATGAAGTCATTTCCTGAACAATTTTCTATTCTGTCTCTCTTTAAAAACAAAATGTGTCATGAGTTGGCTGTTTAAGTAACAGAAAAATTAAGGACTTTTTAAAATAGAAACTTAATGGAAAACCAGACTTAAATGTTTGTTTTTTTTTTTAAACAGGTCATATGTATTTAACATTCATATTTAACCTATAGATTCTGATTATAGAATATATATTTTGCCACACTTCAGACTCAAGAGTTTTCAAAGGAAAACTTAAGATCTTGCCCCAAAACTTGCTCCTATTTCTGATTTCTCTATTTCCACCATTTCTTCCAGCCACCTAGATTCAAAGTCACAGTTTACCTTAAATCATTCTTCTTGTGTGATCCCCATTTCTAACCATCTTCCAAATCTGGTAGATTCTAGCATTCCATGTCTCTTACATGGACTATTAGCATGACCACATAACCTAAGTCATGCCCCACACTAATCCATTCTACCCAAAACTTTTAATATTTCATGAGTGCCATTTGAACTGAATATAAACTCCTAAACCAGGTATTGAGGGGGCTTCCCAATTGGGCCAATCTATGTTTTCATTCTTACTTCTCGACACTATCTGTAATCTTGTCCCAATAACAATAAAACCATAAACTCCTAAGATATATAACTCTGTACTTAATGACCCTTTGCTCATTCTGTGGCCTCAAGCTAAAACTTCTTCCAGCCCTTTAAAAGCTACTTTCCCTAAGAGGTCTTCTAAGATCTAATTTTTCAGATATAAGAATTTAAAGAATTTGTACATTCATTGAATGAGATTTTGTCACAGATCAGTATAGATAATTCCCTAAGTAAATCAGCCCCAGTGAAGACATGGGACATATTTAATGTAGACTGTAAATTCTACGAAGTCAGGCACCATGTCCATCTTCCACAGTGTTCTTACCATGATGCCTGACACAGGTGAGAAGTACAAGACATTTTTCTGTTTGGACAGGTAAACATAAAAGTAACTTCATTAATGGCCACTTGTAGAAGGACAGGGCATCATAGTGAAGAGGAATCCTGGCTGACAAATTAATTTAACTAAATAACATATCAAGTTTTTACAAAACCAAAATAACTCAATAAACAAAACCATCCAGAAAGGTGCTGCTATGCTCCAAGCTAAAGATGTTTTGTTATGCCAGCAAATGCCTATGATAATGTTGTAGTTAAAGGAATGTTATTTTATCTTTGTTTTTAAAAGAACGTTGGCATTCAAACCACTTCCAATTATTCTTGCATAAAAGCTGAGCATTTGAGCCATAAACCTGGTTTTTATCTGGCATCTGCAAGTACAATATTTTCTTTTCATGAGGTCTCCTATCAGAAGCCACTTTGGACATCCCCACAAAGACACTGCACAACACCACGGGCTGACCAGACAAAATGCCCTTTCCTGGATTTCCCTGCAGTTTGATAATGAAGAAAAAAAAAGAGATTAAGCCAAAGCTTTCCCCCTCTGAGCCATCGTCTTTCTGTAGACGTTTTGAATAAATGTGGCCCAGCTGTCTCACTGACCTTCCAGGACACTGGGACTTCCCATTTCCAAATGCCATGAAGCAGTCCAAGAAAGCGTGCTTCTTTAAATTTGCCTTTTTCCAACGTTCCTGTGGGAAGAAAACATTTTTTTTTTCCAAATCAGCCTTATATAAATAGGCTTAACTTTATTTCTCTAGGCTAAAAATGACCTTGTACAGCTAATCCTTGCGTATAAAGTTGCAGGGTTGTTGGTCATTTTTTCCAACTTGTTATTAATATCAGACACAATTGTGTTTTTGGAACGTGAACTTATAAATAAAAAGGTTTAAAAAGAATTCTGTTAAGTGGTAAATGTAAATGATAATGTAAATCAACCACAGAATGGACCTAACAAGAGAAAGATTATTTATAATAATGTCTTAGGCTCCATCATAAAATTGCTCTTGGTAATAAATTTAGTAATACGGTACTCACAGCCCTGCCTACTGGAGAAAGGTTGGGATGTAGAATTAATACATCTGGATGCCACTTTTGACAGTTTTACCTAAAGGCAGAGAATGGACTAAATGACCTCTTAAGATTCTGTTCAGCCCTGTAACTTCCCAAACCTAAGAAATGGCAGATCAAGGTTTTAACTTACTTTATTTTTATTTTTTGTACTCCTTGGAAACCCAAAACAGAAACAACTTCTTAAAGAATATGAAATAAGTCTTCTGGTTTCATATAAAATTTATTTTGAAGTTGGGGCAGTTTATTCCAAACACTTTTCCATCTGGTTTGTAAATGTTGTACTGTATATGTTGCAAATCTAATCTATACTCTGTAGCAAACTTTTGTACTTAGTTACTAGAGAAATATATGACTGCTTATCTATATAGTCTTAGTTAATTTCTGAATTCATACTTTTGGCATAAAAAGCATACTGTATATGGCAAGACATAACTTACAGGTTTGAACAGTTCAGGTTCAGGAAAATACTTTGGGTTTCTATGTAGCCAAAATGGAGACAACATCAACAAGTCACCAGAAGGAATGATGTAATTCTACGATAGAAAAAAAATCAATTCCAAGTCATTTTTTTTTTGAAATATGCTTTAAGAAATATGTGGTGAAGGCTTACACATTTTATAATTGATGGCAAGAAAATATAACTCTATACTGAACAGGCCTTTCCAATTTTCAACTGATGTCTGATTCCTAATTCTGGTTCTGTTACATGTATATATATATATATTTGGTTCCATAGAAGGGAAGACTAGTGAAATGTCAAAATCTTAGAAACTACTATTAGTCCATAGTAATACAGCTTTGATGTTTGATATTGGGGTCTGCAGCAAGTGTTCTTAATGATAGAAGCCCAGTGGATCCCCAGATTATAAAACAGAAAAATCCAACTCTGAGACAGGGGCAATGACCATGGTAGTACCGAAGACAGGGGCAGTGGGTGTCCTACTCATGGGAGCACTGATGATGGTGGCAGGGCAGGGGCAGTAGATTCTTTTATGATTTTTTGTTTTTAAGTCCAGAAGTAGTCATTGGGGGGGGGGGGAAATTTGAAGACAGCTGGTCAGGAAAACATAGGAAAAATCAAATGTACATTTACTTGGTTGGTTTGTGTTTGCAGTCATAGTGGTTATGGGACTGAGGATAAGCAGTGTGATTCCTCAAGCAGCAGAGTCCATATTACCCTTTCCAATTCATGTTCTAATAGGTTCTCATGATTTAGAAACTATCCTAAGAACCAGAAACCATTTTATAAAGTCTCCCTTTTGTCACCATGTTCAGGAACCATGGGACAAAGAGATCTCTCCCAAGTTGTGTGATCACTAGACAGAGACCAACTTTACGAGGGGAAGATGTTTTATTAGGTAACTCTCATGGCCAATCATCATAAGCCACATCTATTGAACCCTGTATAATTTTGAAATGTCCTCAAGATATCTGCAGTAGAACACTTACTTTAGGTTTACATATCCCTAATGTAAGTGCTCTATGATGAAAAATATGTCTTTTTTTATGGCAGCAGGGAGTGGGGTGGGGGTCATCATTTTTTAATCCCGTTGGCTTTAGTGGGAACCAGGTATTGCTTGGAGTTTGGTGGTTTCAGTACCAAGAGAGCTGGAGAGAGTCAAGTCTAAAACTGGGAAGAAAGAAAGGCTTTTGCTGGTGTCCTCTTACCATTTTTAAGATAGAAAAAGATCTGTGAGATCCCACTCTTATCTGTTTTACCTCTGCTGGAATCAGTCATGGAGGCTTTGATATGTATTTGGAGTGGGGATGGGGGCAGCCCTGGGACAAGACTCCAGGTCCTTCCTCTGCCTACTCCCTAATCCTCTCTAGTCACTATTGACCTATGATCATGACTGGGAGACTACTGACTGCTGCAGCCTACAAATCAGGGTAGCAGAGGAAGGGCAACTTCAAATGGGTCCTCAGTAACAGAATTACCACTAG